GAGGGAACTGGGGTAGCAGTGGGTGAGACGGAAGGGAATGGGCTGGGTAAAGGATTCGAGACAGGGGGAGAAGAGAGGATTGGGGGATAGGAAACAGTGGGCTGGGTAGTTGTTGTGGGAGGGGGCTGACGATCAGTGGGCTGGGTGATAGGCAGGGGAGTGGGCTGGGAGGTGGGCTCGAGTAGGAGTGAGTCTGGTGTAGAAGTGGGCGAAGGGACAGGGAATGGACCAGGAGGTGGGGGTAGCAATGTGGGCTGGGTGGGAGAGGGGGATAATAATGTTGGGTTTGGTGAGGACAATTCAGTAAAGGGGAATCGGTTTTCATCAAAGAGAAAGTGACGACTGACGTAAATACGACCGGTGGGAATATGAAGGCAACGGTAACTCTTATGAAGTTTGCTGTATCCAAGAAAAACACACGGTACAGATCGAGGAGCAAGTTTGTTTGGTACTAAGGGGCGAAGCCATGGATAACAAAGGCATCCAAAAACACGAAGATTAGAAATATCAGGAGAACGTTGAAAGAGAAAATGAAAGGGAGAATCATTGTGGAGAAGAGGTGTAGGAGTGCGATTAATGAGATAGCAGGCAGTGTCAAAGGCGAGAGACCAGTATTTTTGTGGAACATGGGAGTGATGTAAGAGAGCAATGCCATTATTAACGATGTGCCGATGTTTGTGTTCCGCACAACCGTTCTGCTCTAGAGTATAAGGACAGGAGGATCGATGAGCAATGCCATGTTGGGAGAGATAAGTAGACAAAGCTTGATATTCACCTCCCCAATCTGATTGGAAGGTTTTGATGGGAAGACCGAAAAAATTTTCTACCAATTGGCGGAACAGGATGAAGACACTAAGCAATTGGGATTTATAACGAATGAAATAAATCCATGAAAATTTGCTGTAATGATCATAAAACAAAATGTAATACGATTGCTCATCATAAGATAAAACCGGAGCAGGGCCCCATACATCACTACAAACGAGTTCGAGTGGAGCAGTAGCATGAAAGGTGGACGATGAAAAAGGGAGCTTATGAATCTTACTAACTGCACAACCATGACACAAAGAGGAAGGAGAGGAAACAAATTTTTTTTGATGCTGATGAAGAGCATGTTTAACGGCCCGTTCATGAGCATGACCAAGACGACGATGCCAAATGTCAAAAGAAGCCACACAGGAAATCGGAGAGAGTTGGCGAGAAATATGCAGTGGAAGAGAGTAGAGACCGTTCACTGCATAACCGCGATGAAGTTCATGGCCCATGCGCCGATCCTTGATAAGAAAAAGAGAGTAAAAAAATTCAATGGAGATAGGATTAGATCGAGTGAGAGAACTGATTGAGAGTAGATTGTACGGAGTATGATGAACATGGAGAATATTATTCAAAGAAATGGGAGTATTAGACAATGAAGAAACAGAAGAGCCGACACAAGAAATGGGAAGCGAGTTACCGTTTCCAAAGGTGACCTGATCAGTGCAATTATATTCCGAATGATGGGCGAGATTGACTAAATCCGAGGTAAGATGATGATTGGTACCAGAATCTAGGAGCCACTGCTGCGGATTAAAGGATGGAGTGGGTGAGGAGGTGTACATGGCATGTGGGCTGTAATTAGAAGTGGAGGACTGGGCGAACTGGGCTGGACGGTTGGGCTGGGGAAAAAATGGGCTTGGGCAATTTGGTTTAATGTGCCCACGTCCACCACAATTGTGACAAACCACCATTTTATTAGTGGGCCGAGGCCCAAGCACTCCTCCAGTGGAGCCCGACCTGCCAACAAAAGGAGAAAACACAGGAGGGTTAGAGTAAAATGGACGGTCGCCGCCGCGAGGAAAGGTGCGCCCTCGTCTGCGCCCTCTGCCGCGATAGCCATCGGCTGAGGAGAAAAAGGCAGCCGGGGAAGGGGAGTCCGATCGCGATGCATAACGTTGGATCTGCAACTCTTCGCTGAGAAGAAGCGAATGGAGATCCTCGAAACTGATGGGAGCCATACGAGATTCAATATGGCGGACAAACGGACGGTAATCTTCCCCCAGTCCGTCGAGAATCCATCCCGTCAAGTCGTCATTGGGAACGGGAGAGGCCAGGGCTGCTAACTGGTCAGCCTTGGCTTTGGCGTTCTAGAGATAATCGTGGATGGAAGAGTCGTCGCGGTAGATGTGCTGAAGGGTCTTGGTGAGCTGCCGAATTTGAACGTGAGAGCCAGAGGCATAGATGGTAGTCAAGGCTGTCCACGCTTCAAACGCAGTAGCCTTGTTGATGACATTCGGCAGCACAACTTCGGAGAGGGAGAGATTTATCCAGGTGAGCACGTACTGATCTCGATCATACCAAGTCCAATAGGCTGGATTTGGTTGATCGTCGAGAAGTTGAGGTGGAGCAGAAAGGGAGCCATCGACATGGCCCATCAAATGATAGCATCGAAGAAGAGGGGTTATTTTAGCGTGCCATAGGAGACTCAGTGGAGGCAGAGGTGGAAGAAACAGAGGATGGTTCAGTACCCATCGGTTTGAAGAAGAGAAGGAGAAATAGACAAAGACGAGGAGAAGAAAAAAGATGGGAATTGACTCGTTAGAGTTCTATAGGCTCTGATACCATGTGAACACAAGACATATCTTTCTCTTATTGAATCAAGGTATTTATAGTACATGAGCAACAACAGCTAGCTACAGATGTGGAACAGAAAGAGTGAAAGCAGGAACAAAGTGGGTGTCCAACGTTCTATTCCTAACAACTAACAGTAAGTGAGAAACGTAAGGGCCAAGTCCCTTATCAGTAATCATGTGATCTCATAGTATTATGAGTAAGTAAGAATCTCTAAACCTGAGTATATGAGAGGTTAACTGCGTCCTAGTCAGTAAACCGTTTAACCATCGATTACTAACTGTTTAACCATCACTTAGTAATTAGCTATGGCTACCAGGAAACGACAGTTAACTGTTTAATAAGTTATCGGTATATTTGTTTACCATATGTTCCAATTCGGTTGTCGTTTACACGGCTAACAGGATGACCATTTACCATTTCCTACATTTGAGTATAGCTCTGCTTTCTGTTGGTCTGAGATTCGAGCTTACCTTTTCTATACTCTCGCCACCTGAAAATGTCGCTATAGATTCATTCGAATGAACCAAAATGATGTAGCATGTAAATTGATCGTCTCGATTTTTATTAATAATAACATTAGAAGTCTAGTTCTCACTTATGAGAATGCGGGTTACATGATGACCAGTAATTTACACCTTATGTAACCACTCAGGAGACAAGCCATTACTGTCTGCAGTGCATGCAGACTTGGTAATGGTAATCTAGAAGACATTCATTCGTAGTATGTGTAGCTCCATCCACCTCAAACCATGCCAACTCAATGGTTATAACAAGACACCCTACTATCTTTACCTCAAAATAGATCGCTTGAGCGGTGTGCAATGGTCCGGTCTGTATCGGACCACACCGGACCAAACCGTTGTTAAGATCGGATCGAACCAGACCGAGTAAAATGCGATTTGGTCCTTGGTCCTCATGAATTTTATAATTACTGAAGAAATGGTGGACCGAGCTCATATTTGGACCGAACCGAACCGGACCAAATGGACCAAATGCAAGAATGATCCGGTCCTTGGTCCTAACATGTCTTCAACTAATGGACCGCGGTTCTCATAAGTTTGGTGCGGTCTGGACCGAACCGTTGCAGGCTTGAGAAATGACGATAGAATTTGGTAAACTATTCGAGGTTCGTACGAGGCAGAGACCATTAGTGTTACCTTACATAGACATTAGACAAACATGAGTTTGAAAGGGTTGATTAAACCCATCACTGGATCCTATGTTGCTACAAACATATAACCTGGTCTACATCTAAAAGATCTACTTCCCCTAAAACTAAGGCACTTACGCACTGCACTGCTTACACGCAATTCTCTTGCTACTAACATCCAGCTGCCTTGAGGAAGTTATCATAAGGACTAGCAGGTGGCAGCTTCATTGGCAAATACTGCTCCGTTGAAGTCTTCTGCTTCAGCTCTTCTCCATCAACCTCACTCTTACATGAAGTCTGCACGAAAAAAAAAAGAGAAAAATCAGTTTATGCCAGACAGACATGCTTGAGATATGATAGGAACAGAAGGGTTTCTGTTTCTCCTCTTTAACCTGCCATGGTACTGCAGCCCCACTCACTGTAACTGATGGTAAGCGGTACTTGCAGCGGCTGGCTTAATAGCTTGCTGATTCTCGTGGGCCAACCAAGTCGAGAGCTTCTTTCTATTAACTGTCCCGAGAGTTTCGCACTGTCTGGTCATCGAGTCATAGGAGAGGGGTGATGTGGAGACAGATGTTCCAGCTACTTGTCCAGCTACCTCGAGGGCCTGGAAAAAGCATGAGACCGTCAGCACATTTGTTGGGAAACCCCATCACCAAAAGTTAACGGAAAACAGGTCGTTTACTGATTCTAGTAGCTTCCCGATGCTAATAATGTGCGAGACAGAAGGCGACGAAGGGATTTTGGGGATGAACCGGCACAGGTCCGAGACTGATGCTTCGCTTGTGGCATCATCATCGATCAAATTGCTCGGAACATCCTGCAACATGCTAATATTATCAATGCTCAACACTCAAACCAAAAGAGAGCATTACCTCGTCGAATGAGAGTGATTCCTTGGAATGAGAAGCCGCACGGTGGTGGTCAAGTACTGATCGTGGACCAAACATTAACAAGTCATCAGGACCAAATGGTTCTGACAATTGCCTGGCGACTTCATCCGGTTCCATCTTAAGAAATAAGAAGTACAAACACATATATTAGCAAAGTGAGAGGGCTATAAACTAGTAAATGAATTAGCTTTGATCTGTACCTCAGTGGTGATGGATAGGTTCAGAACTAAGATGTTCATCATAGCACTCTCGGATTCAGATATTCTGCTCTGCAACTCATCTAGCACTGACATAGCCAATGAATTATCTTTGAAGGACCCGACATTCTTTCAAGTCTGCCTGGGGCTTCACATATATCTGAAAATCGTTGCTAATTCCCAAATAAGATCAACCTGAATTCATCGAGTATATAAACTCCAGTCAGGCTTGAGTTAACCCATATACATGTGAACTGATAATAGATAAATTGCAACACATTTTATAACTCACATCATCAGGGATCAATCGCTTGAGCAAGTCGTTCAACTCAGGAACTTGGTATGTCTTCGCAGTGAACATTAGCATGCTCATTGCTAAGATGAAAACTGATCTTCTGCATGCTGAATGCAACATTCCTGACAAAAGATTAAGTTAAGTAGAAGAATCTACTAGTGGTTGAACTGATAATTCTCTTAAAGCTGAGTAAGCCATGAACAAATCATATGTACGGATCACGGATGTACCATTGTTAGAGTCCAATGACAACTTTCTGAGAGAGAGAGCAAGCTGAACGAATCGAACCACGACATTTCCATTTGTATTCTGCAAAGTCACGAGATCATATCATCATTAACTTTCTGAATCTACAGGAGGTCTTGGATTCTTGTAAGAATAGGGTATATATCAATCCAAATTGGAAAAGTAGGACAATATAAGAGTGTCAGTGCAAAAGAGGGGAGAAAAGGGTAGTGCGACAAGAAATAATCAAGAGACATGATCCTTCAGAAAAAATATTGGGGTCCCACCTTCAGTTGAGAAGAAATAAGTGTCAACGTGAAAGAATGAGCTATGGCCTCAAGATTTGGAGGCGTGTTGTCAGGAAGGCTGGATTGCATCCAGAAGGCAGAAAGCAACTGTGAAATCTGATCCTCATTTAGCTTCAAAACACATGGTTCCTGCAAAAAATAAGTACATATAAGGACCTCCTAAGACTGCAACGAAGATGCTTGCAGAAACAGGAAGTCACATACAGCAGCCTCAGCCGACCCCGGTGTCCCTGTAGTCCTCTTGAAGATTGAGCTAATCTTGTAAACGTTTGGCGAATTCTTTCTAGCCCGTCCATACTTCCACTCTTCTTCCGAGGTGTCCTGTTCTTTGCAGTCATCATGCACTCCATTTACTTCAGGACCATCCTTCTCTTTCCGTAGCCTTTCAAGTAGTGCAGAAATCGAAGCAAATGTAGATGCTGTACCAGAACGCCATCTTCTTGGTTCACAAATGTAACTAGGCCGTGCAGATGCTTCTCGTCCAAGACAGATTGAATTCGGAATGAGAAGAACTGTGAATATCTGATGTGCTTCAACCCGCACTTCAATATTTGCATGCAACATTGCTTTCAAAAGCTGAACAAGAAGTGATTCTGGGAAAGCCTGCATGCAAATTTTTTGTAGGGTCACAGTGAGATTCATTTACATGCCAACTTCATTAGACTCATCATACAAAATGATAACAGAATAAAAAAGGAAGTCTTCCAGAGAATCACTACAATATTTGTGCATGGCTCTCTTAAGTATTTGTGCAGAAGCTTCATACATAGGCAAGATATGAACTCATTGTTCAAACTCCTAAAAACCTAGGCAGCAGTCAATCCAGCTTCCTCCAAAAACTAACCAGGGAAGATACTAACTAGTAGCACCGGGTTAAGAGAGCAAAAAAAGGCAGTAAAGAAAGAGGAACAAATTGTTGAGAGTCACTCACTGGAGACTTTGGGAAGATTTCAGCAAGGAGTTTCTTGTATCTTTTTACAGGTTGCCGAGATCTGGACCTCAAAGCAGGGCAACACACGCACATCGTCCCACAAGAGGGGATTATCTTCCGGGAAATGATACCCATTGTCTGCACATTGTCAAAGGCAGAGAAGAAAAAAATGATTACAATCCAGGCCAAGTTTCTTACATTTCCGAGATAACAAAACTGGAAAGAAACTAAAACTGTTAGTATTGTGGTATATGATTCATGATTGAACCTTTCCCAACAACTCGAGTTATTGGGACCAACTGGTTCTTGACATGGTATCAGAGCCTTCTGTGACCGAGAGGTCTTGTGTTCGATTCCCGGTGACTCCCATTTGTTAACCACATGGTATTCTTGTCTTCAGACTTGTGCAAACTTCAAGCCCTTGTGAGTGACTTTTATTTGAGGGGGCAACAACACAGTAAAGCTGAAATACCCAAAACCCTCGATGCAACACAAAAAAACGGCCTTGAAGGTTAAAACAGAACGGATAGGAAAGAAATGATTGTCACAAGCTGCATCACCAAGATCACCTCAAAGGAACGTATTTGATGTTACATACAATGCAAAGAAACCGACAGCAAACAGAACAAAAAATGATCTCCGACTGGGAACACCTTCACAAAAGCCCTTCCAGCAGCTCACGAAGGTAACAACTTTACGGCTCAAACTCACAAACCCAGAAGAGGAAAAGCCGATCTAACGTCGGGGAGGGCAGGAAATAAATTAAATAGGTTAGTATACCTATGGGCATATATTGCCTCCGGAAGAAGGCAAAGCGGAGATCAGGGAGAGGGAATGGGCGAGAAGCGTTGGAAGCAGGGAACAGTTCAACACAATAGGCACACAGCAGTGAAGAAGCTCAAGCATCAAGAGGATCGAATGGAATAACAATTGACAGATGAAGAAGAATGGCGCGTGGTTTCAGACGAATATCGGGGAGGGGGGATTTGGGAAATGGGATATAGAGAGGACTGAGTCTGAGAGAGAGAGAGAGGAGAGTGGCCTAGATTGTGGGGCAAGGGGAACGGCTACGGTGCTAATTGTACAATAGTTAGCACCGTCCCAACTAAGGGGAAAACTACTACTAGTTTGAATTAGTAGTGATTTAGCTTAGATCTTGTATTGATTTTATAATAATCCGTAGTGTTTTTTTGCTATTTATCACGGTGCTAACCCTTATAGGGGTTAGATAAGGGTTAGCACCTAATCCCAACCCAGGGCAAGGGGAGTGTTGTGTTGTCAGAGGTTGGAAGACTCACTATATAAGAAAAAATGATGAGAAATTCTTCATTCGAATCGTGAGACCATCGAGAAATTGAAAGGGAGGGAGACTCGGTTTGACCAGTCGGTTTGGCTAGGGTCAACTGAGTTAAAGTAGGTCGTCGTTAATAATTCGATCGAATGGTTAAGCGAGTTTAGATTTAATTAGTACTGTGGCAATGGCATATTCTTCGGTCAACCAATTGCATATCTGATCGAACTTGAATAACACTACACTATCAATTATCATAATTGTATAATGGTTCGAAAACGGAAGATAGTTGCTCTTTCTTCAGCTTTGGCTGCCACCGTTTCCACTCGGGACGCCATTGACAAGAGCACAAGCAATCATAATTCAGTAATTCATTACACTAGTGCCCCCAAGTTTTGAATCTTTCAAATTTGAGTGGTGCCTCTCTCGCCCTACACTTCTACAGTGAGTTTGGTACTAGTGCAACAAACAGACACGTATGGCGCTGTTGCTTTTTGGTTCCTCAGTCTTTGGCATGCTAAAAAGCATTCACCTTTTCTTCCCCCCTTTAGTTTGAAAATACCCAATTATAACCATAAAAGAAGATTCATTTAGATTCCCATCAAAAAATTTTAAAAAACCCCAACTATTTGATTAATCTACTAATATGACTAATCCTATGATTTTCTAGCTGAGGTTAGTAACTAAGTATTCTTCTGGTTTATATTGTTCTTGGGTACATCACATTAACCAGTGGCTATTTATGCGGGTAAAATACTTCGGGTACCACTTAAGTTTGAGAATTGGGGTAGACATACCACTTAATTTTGAATAGGGCGTCGGGTACCATTAATGTCGCCAAAATGTGCATCCGTCTAGTTTTCCATCCAACCCAAAATTTTAATTACTTTTTGGTACCCAAAACTTTTAAAAACATCCAAAACTATATTTCAACAAGTTTTAATCTAATATAGAAATTAAAAAACCTACTAAAATGACTGATCAAAATTGACAATAAAATAGATAAATTAGTAAAAAATAGTAAACAAATATCAAGAAGAAGAATAAATATATAGAATATAATAATAAGTATTTAAAATCAATATTAGAAGATCTATTAAAATCGCTAATCCAATTAGAAGTACTATTAAAAATAGTTAAAATAGAACCTTGTCGATCATCAATACATCAAGACCAAAGAATAATAAATGGAATCGAGTCAGAAAAAATTAAACATATTCCATTAATTGAAGAAAATTTAGAACGAAAAGAGAACGGAAGTAACCAAGTAATAAACAAATAAAATTTACAACATTCCGTAACAAATCTGGAAAATAAAATACGACTATAGGAAGAGAATTAGAATTAGTAAATTTAATTAATATGGAACATCTAAAATATAATATTATAAAATTACAAGGATATTTAACATAGAAAATTATACAACATCAGCATGATGTACGGGAATTAAATATAACATCCTCAGATTATTTATATCGATATAGAATTCATAGTATATATTTGCTTCAGCAAATTATTCGATTATTATAACTTATAATGGTAATTGAAAATGCTTATAATGATAATTGATTCTACATTTCCTATTCAAAAATTGGTTTGGTATCAAAGTCTTCAAAAGAGGATTCCAACTAAATAGAATTCATAGGATATATATGCTTTAGAGAATAATTCAATTATTAGAAAACATAATGATAGTTGAAAATACTTATAATAATAGTTGATTCTAAATTTTCTATTCACAAATCAATTTGGTATCAAGTTTTCAAAAGAGGATACCAACTAAATAATAAAAATTGTTGTTTTTCATAAGTCAAAATGATTTTTTACAATAAAAAAGTAGAAGGATCAATTAAGAAATTTAGAAAACAGAATATTCCAAGAATATTCTGTTAACTTTAACGGAATGCACTTAACATTAAACTTAAGTGGTACTGGATGCACAAATAATAGAGTTCAGTGGTACTCGACGCCCTATTCATATTTAAATGGTATGTTTGCCCCGATTCTCAAACTTAAGTGGTATCCAAGATATTTTACCCCTATTTATGCATAACATTGCTTTTGCATAAGGAGCTCGCGATTCTATCATTGAATGGTTGCTCAAGGTTTTGCAATTCAAGTATGCAATTGAAGTCCAAAGCTAGCTTTCTACAAAAAAAAAAAAAAAATCCAAAGCTAGCCATTGGTAGTTTTCCAGAAATAACACTGTTTAAAAATAATTTCAAAAATAGGCGGTCAGTCCCGCCTTCGCCACGAAAAAATGTTATTTGCTACCCAAATGAGTTTTTCCCCGATTTTGTCAAACTTTAGACGACCATAACTTTGTGCTCCAAAATTCGAACATCATAAATTTATTTTTCATTTTGCATTAGCTTTTTTTTTTCATTTGTCTAGTTAGCATTCCGCCTCAATAATAAAATTCATAAAAAAAGATACAAAACAAACATAAAACAACCCAAAATCAAAACTAACCCAGCCATAGGACATAACCAACCAACCGCCGCCCTAGTCTCTTCTTCCTCTCTTCCACCAAGCCCCCGCCCTCTGCGTTTCCATCTTTCTCAATTCGAGCCGAGAAATCAACAAATCCATCCACCCATTTGGTGATATCTCGGGTACTAATTAGACTTAGAGCAAACAAACGAAAAAGAAGGAAAAGGGGAAAAACGCCAATTTTGATGTGTCACCAACCCTAACTTGTTATTTTGATTCGTCGTCGGACATGAAGAGACGACGATGATAGCAATGATGATTCAATGAAAGCGGGAGAGAGCTTGATTCAATGTATGTAATTCCCAAACCTAGCGTCGTCGCTGCACCACCATCTCTTTTGTCGTCGTTGTGTTGTCGCTACCATCGTCCCGCCATCGTCGCCTGAAATCCCTGTTGCTGCCATCATCCTACGCATCGCACCCTAAATCGTCCATGGCACCTACTTAAGGAAATCACCATCATCGTTTTCCTCTTTGATCGAGGATTCTTCCTCATTGCTGTTCATGGTGGCTATTTCAGGAAATGGTGACCTTCAAATCTCTGTCGCCGGAATCATATATGAGATGAGGGCGGCGGCTTGGTTGGTTGGTTATGTCCTGTAGTGCTGGGTTGGTTTTGGTTTGTGTTGTTTTAGGTTGGTTTTGTTTATTTTTTTATGAATGTTATCAATGAGGTGGAATGCTCACCAGACAAATTTAACAGAAATTTGGATGGAGACTATCAAATGTGATCATTTTGGACAAGTTCATACTTTTATTACTGTGTTGTTACAAATTAAGGATTTATGATCTTTTGTACTAAGTGCAAAGTCTTGTGACCGTTTATGATAATTACCCAAAAGAGTTTAGGGGTCGTTTGGAAGTTGGGAGTCTATGAATATGTGTATTCTTACAATGCATGTATTCTAAGGTCCCGTTTAGTATCATTTTGTTGCTGTTGTGGTTGCAGACTTGCAGTGGTGTTGTGTAAACAGATGTACAACCACAACAGGAAAAAAAACAGAAAACACAAACCTTTAGTTGATAAATCTGAAAAATCATGAAAGCTGAAAACAAGAAACAAAAACGCGTTTAGTTACTACCTGCTGCGGGGAGTCGGAGTGAGGCTTCTATGGAGGGGAGTCGGAGTGGCGGCGGCGGCAGGGTCGGGCGGCGGCGATTGGGCGGGCGGCGGCAGGGTTGGGCGGTGGCGGCTGGGCAGGCGAGGCTGTTGAGCAGAGGAGGGGAGGTCGCGCCGGCGGCTGTTGAGCAGGGGAGGTGCGGCGGCGACTGTTGAGTAGGGGAGGCGCGGAGGTGGAGGGTCGGGAGGGCGGAGGCGGCCGGTCGGGAGGCGCCGAGGCGGAGGCGGATGATTGTAAGAATATGTTGTTTGTTAGTTGTGATTCTCACTTTTAAAGAATATAAGGATTCTCACTTTAATGACCAAAAGACTTATATAACCTTGAAGTTCTCTTTATATAGTCAATTAAAGAAGGAACAAAAATGAAATATAAAAAAAATAAGGATAAGAGGTGCAAAAAGCAATTACAAAGGTAAAACAAGAGAATCTCACCTTTTTGTAGAGATTCTAAAATGAATGATTCTAGTCATTTGAGATAGGGGTGGGCATTCGATCGGTTCGGTTTGAACCGAACCGAACTAGGACATGCCGAATTTCCGAAGTACCCAGCACCCCAACCGAATTCGAACTGAGCTATAATTTGGTTCGGTTGAACCGAACCGAATTATAGCTCGGTTCGGTTTGACTGCCCAAAACCGAAATGCTCACCTGCTGCCTATTTTTACCTGCTGCCTTATCTCAAACGAGCCCTAGTTTAATCCCTCACCACTTCTCTCTCTCTCGTCTTCTCCCTTTCCTTCTAGTACTTCTCTCTCTTTTTTCAGTGCTGTCAAAGCCGAACCGAGCCAGCCGGCCGGACCGCCAAAGCCGCCACCCGGCCGTAAAACCGGCTCGGATCAGCTATTTAACCGCCACGGTTTTATACAGCGGTCGGCGAGCGGCCGAAGCGGTTAACCGCTCGCGCCGCTCAAGCCGGTCGCGCGGTTCGACCGTTTGGTTTACCCTAAAAAAAAAATAGAAAAGGAATCGTGGAATTTGGCAGCCAAAGAAAACCCTAACTTTCCTTTTATTTCTCCATCTTCGACCTAGAAGTAGAACAGACGACAGCGGGAGAGCGGCGATACCCTGCCGCCGTCAACCATCGCCCCAGGCCCCCAGCGCTTCTGTCCCGTCGCCGCAAGCAGCTCGCCGCCGCAAGCATCGCGCCATCGCCAGTCGCCATCGTCGCTTCTGATCCCCGCCATCGTCGCAAGCAGCCCCCTGCAGCCCTGCTCCTGCCGCAACATCTCCCTGCCATGTTCTAGAATGGTTTAAAAGAGTAATTTGCTTGTGGTTTACCATGATTAAGAAGTGTTTACTATTACAGATGACTGTTTATTAGGTACCGGTTCTCAAATGGTATTTAAACGGTCTAATGTCGGCTGGACCACTAATGACCAAGCCGTTCACGTTACCGGGTCATACTCCGGCTCGGCTTTGACAACATTGCTTTTTTCTCTACTGATTCTTCTTTCTCTCCAAATTCTGATGATATAGCTAGAGAACTATCTCATCACCACCACCGCCAATCATTTATTCTCTGTCGTCGTCTCCTCTACGGTGGCTATTCTCATGGTCATCGCAAACACGAAGTACATGGTGAGAATCCCAAATCCAGATCTAGGTCTAGTTTCCCCGCCTCCTACTGATTTCTTCGTGCTCTGCATGTTGCTGTCGCTCTTCGATTCTTCTTCGACTCCTCGTTTTGCTTCTTCAATTAGGGATTTTTTATGGATTTTGCCTCTGTTCTTTGTGCTCTGCATGTTGCTGTCGCTCTTCGATTCTTCTCCGTCTCCTCGTTTTGTTCTATGAACATGTTTCGTTCTTTGTTTTGCAGGTTTGTGGTTGCGAGACTAGAACAGATGGATAGGGAATGTGAAGGGGTCGGTCAACGAGTGGTAATGACGGCTAGGCAGCTCAATCGGTTGTGCTATGCGTGGGACGGAGGCGCGTAGAGAAGAGACAGAGGTGAGAACATTGTCTGCCTGACTGTCGGTGATGGAGAGCAGAAGGATTCGGTCGAGGTCCTCGAGAAGCGGCGCTGGAGTGTAGCGGCGGCCGCCATAAGTGGGAAAGGGAGCGGAGCAGACTCCGTAGAGGCTAGGGTTGTGACTTGTGCATTTTGAGGGTTTGGGCTCAGTCGGGCTGTAGGGAAAGTTGGGTTGTAGGGGCAGGGTTTGGGATCAATTGGGCTATGGGGGGAGAGTTGGGCTGTTAGGATTTGGCTTGCATAATAATTTTTCGGTTTTTTCGGTTCGGTGTACGAAATGTCGGTTCGGCCAGCACTACCCTGGCTCCTGAATTAGGCGTTTTCTCTTTCCGATTTTCGAACCGAAAAGCATAAGTTCGGTTTCGGTTCGGTTTGAGGTCGGTTCGGTTAGGTTCGGTTCGGGTTTACCGAACCGGATGCCCACCCCTAATTTGAGATTCTAAAGTACCAATCAAATGCATGCATTCTGGATAAGTTTATGTCAAAAGAACGATAGATTGTAAAGAATACACACATTCACAGAATCACTTATTTAGACTCCTAATTTCCAAATGACCCCTTAGTGAATCGCCAAAATATTCTTATATTACCTTAAATTGGTGAGTTCGATCTCTTCAATAAGTACATTTGAATTTATTATGTATTATAAAAGTTACTTGTATTCTTGATAGAGCCAAAATCATGGGAGCGGATAGGGTGCTAACACCTTTAAGTGTTAACACCATGTTAACAATTTCATTAAGAGAATTATAGTAATCCAACCCATATTCTATCATTCCCCATCCCTTTGTCTTAACATTAGCGTATGTTCAGCTCCTCTGTCGCCATCGCACCTGTGCCCATCGAGCAGCTCCCCTCATTGCCAAACCACCTGCCCTTCGTCGAACTCTAGTTGTCACAATCCACCAGAGGTGTCCTTTACTCTATCCGCCGACCTCTTCTCCACCTCCTCTGCTCTATTCATCGAGCGATATCTTCTTGTTTTCTCTCGTGTGGCGGTGAGGTAGATGGGAGCCCTGACGTCAACGAGTTTAGCGTACTTGTCGACCTTCAAGAAGAAACCGATCCAACTCCAACCCACAACGAGCTGCAGGTCGACTTTCATGCTTCTAGTGGTGCTCTTTTTGGATTGACGAAGCCAAGCAATTTTGCTCTTCCAGCATAACCCTTACCACAACCATCAGTTTCATTGCTCATTAAAACATTCCCCCAAATCGCAATTCATATTGCTGAAAATATTGATTCCACAATTTCACTATTGCCTTTAGCAACGAGCCCAAAACAATAGATCAACTTCCCATATGGAGAAGCTACAGGTTGTGAGTGTCAACTACAGAAAAGGGCATTCTTTTTAATTACTTGGACTAGAGACGAGTTTCTTTTGTGGCTTTTTTACCAATTGAGATTTCCATTCCATCAAAACGATAAGAGTACAAGCTAGCTCTATCATAGCAAAAAAGAAATGATGTCTAAGATCTGAATCCACTCTTGAGGAAGAGAACCTTTAGCTTTTTCCTTTGCAACCCAATCAGCGTATCGATTAGCACTCCTTGGAATGAAAGCAATCTTAATCCCACCGTTAGCAGCATGTAGGATTTGATGCATCCATTAGATCCAAGCACTAACTTGCCAAGGTCCCTTTTTGTTTGGGGAATGTAAAACATTAACTAAAACTTGGCAATCCGAGAACATTATGGACGAAAGGCGGGTGCTATCGACAAACTGCATTGCTGTCAAAAGGGCTTTAGGTTCTGCAACTATATCTGAGGAACAGAAAAGAGAACCAACAATACCATCCACAACTTGTGCGTGGGGGTTCTTAATGACAAACCCATAAGCCACCATTTGTGAATCCGAGATGAAAGCTCCATCATAGTTGATTTCCAATTGGAAATAGTATGGCGGGGGAGTAGGAGCATAATGGTTGGGAACCTGTTGGTTACAGATGGGGGCGGGAGTCAAGAGGGAGAGGGGGGAGACCAATCTGCAAAGTTCCTTAATGCGCTGGAGGCTTGGAGCAAGTGACAAAGTTGCAAGGGGGGACACCTTGGAAGACTCTTTCGTTTCTTGCAATCCAAATGGCCCAGAGGCAAGCAATGACTGTTGTCACTAAAATATTTGACAGGTTCTCATGAATGTGAAAAATCCACATCAACACAGGGAGAGAGTCCGCTGTGAGGCGTGAGAGCATTCAAAGAGGCAGTGATTCACATCCTCCCATGTCACTTCACAGATTGGACACAATGGTGTAAGGCTGCATCTTCTTATCCAAAGGGGTTTAATCGTTTCCACTACATTTCTCATCGGTCTCTATATGAAACTAGTGATTTTTGGTGGCAGGGAGAGGTTCCAAAGTCATTTTCATGATTTGGAATGGCAAATAGGGTGATTAGGATCATGCGTTCCAAATCGATTTCTCTTAACCACTCTAAAAGAGTAGTAAGCCGACCTCACATAAGAAGAACATGAGCTTTCATGGCTCTAAATCCATATGTATTTAGAAAAATCCTTCCCTATTGGGATTCTCTTGATTGCCTCAACTTCCTCATATGTACAGCTTTGGCTAATGAGGTCAATGTTCCATTCCCTCCCATCATCTTTTTTTCCATTGATATGCCCATTGTTATTGACGTTGGCTTGGTAAAAGCTTGAAATGTGGGATTCCAGGAACCCATGGGCCATTCTCTAATGAGATATTTCTTCCACTACGTACCAAGGTTCTTCCTCACTCCTGACTTCAGAACCTCCTTAGTCTCGCAGATGCTTGACCAAATCTAATAAGATTTTTCACAGATGACATGAAATTCGAGTTTGGGAAGTACAATCCTTTAAGGAGTTTGATCTAAGTCTCTTCACCTCTAGTAAGAATCCTCGAACCTTGCTTTGCCAACAGGGCAAGGTCGAATTGATAGAAGTCCTTAAACCCCATGTCTCCTTATTGTTTAGGTGCAGTCAACACACTACCCTTCCTCCAATGGATATATGATTTATCCATGTCACCTCCCCAAAGAAGGCCTTGAGTCTTGAGTCTTGTAACCCCTTTGGAAGGAGGAAACAAGACTTAAGGTAAGTAGGGTAACCGTAGAAGAACGATTTAAGAAGAGTTTTCTTCCTAGCTTGAGAGAGGACGAGCCTTTTAATGTATGCCCAAGCTTCCCCATCCTACTAAGAAGAGTTGAGATTAACTCTTTTTTGGGATCTACGTCATTCAGTTGGAACACCAAGGTATTTCCCCGTACTCGTATCACTTGTAATTAATTCTCATGTAGTTTGAGATGAGGAGCTTGATAGATTCAGGAGTGTTTTTGTTGAAGGTGATATCCGATTTATCATAGTTGATAGTTTGTTATCCTATCATTTGTCCATAGAGATTAATTAGACTCTTGATTTGTATAGATTCAGCCAAAGAAGCTTTCTCGAAGAGGATTGTTTCATCTGCAAACAAAACATGAGTGAGTCTTGAGAAATTTGGGTTAAGGGAAATACCTTGAAGATGTTCATTATCAATATTTTTGGAGATGAGGCAAGACAAAGCATTGGTAATGAGAATAAAAAAGAGATGAGATAGGGGGTGTCCCTAACGTATTCCTCTCGAGGGATGAACGATCTAAGAGGGTTGTCCATTAAAGAGGACCAAGAACCTAACAGATTTCATACATTTTTTAATCTAGGGGCACCACTGATCTGCAAAACCCCCTTCAAGTTGTGATCCAAGCATTCCAAATCGACAATATCAAAGGCCTTTTCATATCCAGTTTAATCATCATCTCCCATTTTCATCCTTTAGGACTAGTCTTGAAATGACGCATAACCTCATGGACGACGATGATATTCCTGAATGGCCCTTCCTCCAACAAACGTTGACTGCATCTTAGAAATCAGGTTAGGAATCAATTCATTAAGTCTAGTGGTAATGATTTTTTATATGACTTTATATGAAATTACATAAGCTTATGGGGCTGAATTGGGACTTCCTTTCTAGGATTGTGATATTTGGGATCAACACAAGATGGGTGTCACTCCAGCCACACGATATTTTTTTTAGAGAAAACAAGAGCTTGATCTCCTAACATAGTTGTTTGCCTATAGTTTCTCAATACTTTTTGTAAAAGTACCATGGGAAACTGCTTGGTCCCGAAGATTTGGTAGAACCCAATTCGAACACAACTTTCTTAATTTCCTCATTCATTTCCCAGCTCACCACATTTGGAATATCATTAAAGAGAGCCAGATCCGCTGAACGTTCCCTTTTCTTGAACAAATTGGCGAAGAAAGAAGCCATGAGAAGTTGTAGCTCATTCTGATGTATCACCCAATTATCTTGGTCATCAAGTAACTTCATGACATTATTTTGATGGATCCTTTAATTGTGGAGGTGTGGAAAAATCTATTATTTTGATTCGCTTCTTTAAGCCAACCAATTTTTGACCTTTGCTTCTAGAACAATTCTTCCTCAATCCAGAGTATTTTCAATTCAACCAAACGAGCACTTTCTTCCCAGCAATGGTCGGGTCTCATGTGTTCTCAAGGATGATTGCCAATCTACTTTCAATTGTTTTGATCCTCTTGGCTACATTCATAATATTTCTCTTGCTCCACTCCAATATTGATAGAAACCTAATTTTCTGGTTATATCATAATAGTATTTATTAGGATATTATTAGATGTGGTTAGTATTCATTAAGTCGTATTAGGATAGTCTATTAGGTTTTTCGAGCCTTTCGTTATAATTATGTATTTTGCATTTTATTCAGAATCAATCAAGAAAGTATTAAGAAAACACTCTCCAAAACCCTATTGTCCCAATCCTCTCAATTCTCGATCTCAATCCTCTATAGGCTTTGGCCTATTCTCTATCTTTCTCTTCTCAAATCCCTAATTATGTTCTTTAATCCCTAAATCCCAATTTCACAATCGGATCAATAGAACCTTAGAATTAGGTTTCTATCATTTGGTATCAAAGCCCGAATGAGCTCGTCACAGCTCTACGGCATGGATTGGTCACCGTTGCAAGAGTTGCTACGATAGACTCTAGCCTGCCTGATCCATGAGGCTAAAGTCAGAGTGGCGAAGACGGCGGAGGCAACTGGCGTCGTCAATGCAGTAGAATCGCTGCAGTCGTCAGAGCGGGTTGAGGCGACTGATGATGATGAGGTCGAAGAAGAACAAGGAGATCTGGTGACTCCGACTACTGCAATTCCAAGCATCCTCTCCACAACCGAGCACCTACCCACTGAAGGCAAAGTTATATCTGTCATGCCTAAGGAAACTCACAATCACCATCGGCGGCGGGTGAAATCTCCGCCGTAATTCTCCCGGCTGCTGTCGAGGGAGGAGATCCGGATGTCAAGAACAAGAACTAGAAGTAGCTGCTTTCGGCAATTACCGCAACAACCGTCCATGATGTCTCATCAGCAACACCGACCAACATTGCGGCAGCTGCAAGGAGCGCATCCTCGTCGGGGAATGCAAATCAAATCACCACCGCCAGTGCCAGAGTTGGGGGCGAGCAATCCCCCACAACCAACAACATCATAGGGATCGAAGAAGCCGCTGATCCCGACAATCCACTGACTGATGGATGGAAGTTTCGAAAGAAGAAGTTGGGGACCAACAAAAGAGGACAGGAGGCCGTCATGTCCCCCAATACCTCGCTCGTAACAACGTCGACCACGTCAACGGTCTTAGATCGGAAGGGAGCAACCTCCGTCGGGTTCCAAGCCATAGCATCACCACCGGATAACATCGACCGCTGACGCAGAGCACAGGTGGGAGGGACTCCGGGATGACGGAGGGAAAATTCATCACCGCGGGGTAAGGAGGACGACGACGACGGCGGAACCCTCTACTCGCCGGGGAAGAAGAAGAACTGGAAGGCAGAGTCCGGAATCAGAATCAATCGCCGAGAGTGGAACAGTGCGCCACCGGATATGAAGAAGGCGACATGGACGAGGCGGGAGATGGTGGAGAACCTGCGGGAGAAGGAGGCATCGCTGCAGGGTGAAACTCTGAGGAGAGCGCCGGCAGGAAAGGAAGTGAAGAAAGGTGGTGGTGGCTCTACTCGTTGTTGGGACCCCTCGTGTTTTTTTGGCTGGTCGCCACAGC